TCCGGCATCTCTGGTAAACTACTTTTCATATCTTTGTTTCGGAAAGACGAGCTGAGTTTGATAAGTAAGCAAACAAATATTCCCCGGTTATGGTTGAAGTCACTTTTTCTGTTATTAAAATAAAAACACTGTCAAATATGGCACTCTTCAGAGCATTATTCAGTGGGTGGCATTGAAAAGCTACTTCGAAATACAGCCCTATAAACCGTTCGTCCTTTTATCAGCATATAAAAAATATTAAAATTATATCGGAAACCGCTACTAAACAGAAGCGAAGCAACGGTCAACATCAATTAGAGGCTCAAGGATTATCGCCATCTATCAAACGAAACGTTCCTGATTCATTTTTAAACAATCCCAATGAGCATGCACCATAGACTGGAACTCTCAAAGGACCGTATATTCAATGAAAAGCTCGGAGAGGACGCAACAGCATCAGGCGCAAGCGTATTAACCGCGTGAGACAAATTATATCAGCCCTTCATCATTGAGATAAAGGTCAACCTTGGAAAGGATTCAAAAATTTCCGTCATTTGTAAGCCAGAAGACCGTTGTGACTGCATAGGACTACAGCAAATAGTGGAACCAAGGTTAGGAGCTTACTTTGTTTTCATGCTGTTTTGAATGAAAAATGAAAAAACCTAATTCTATGAATGCTACATCTGCAACAGACAATTTCAATGGACTAACAAAAATCAGGTGCGGACTTCATAGAAACTTTTTCGCATTTACCTTAAGTAGACGATCCACAAGGTCCGCACCATTTCGAACGTTCGGCTCTGGATCAGCACAAAGCTGAAAGTGGACAAATTTTAACAACAAATAAACGATGTATTACTTTCCAGTGTTACAAGATTTTGACAGCAGAACAAGTTCTGCCACTGGTAGGATGTATGTGCAATAAGAGCAGTATTTTAATAAAGGTAGTTTGGGTGGAAAACAGAATAAATAGCTTTATATAGATTAAGCCCTCAGACTCAATACTCTTTCTAGTGCACGGAGTATGCAAATCACAAGACTCCTGTTT